CCGTTTTAATACTTAAACAAACTGAGTTTAATAGCGTATAACACTCGTTTTTTAATGACATTTGAAGCAAAGCTGGTTTTAATGACACTATAGTTAGTACTAAAATTGGTTGTGTAAAGCAACTAGCTAAGCAGCTAGCCCCTAATTTTCCTTGCCGCAGCTAGGCGCTATGGCGGGGAATCCGCAGCAGCAGCAGGCCGTGAGCAAACCTCCTTCAGGGAAACACGGCAACGTTTTACCTCTGTGGGGCAATGAGAAGACAATGAACCTAAACCCTATGATTCTCACAAATGTGTTATCATCTCCGTATTTCAAGGTTCAGTTGTATGAGCTGAAGACCTACCATGAGGTCGTGGACGAGATCTACTTCAAGGTAAAGCCACACAGCCCGCGGGCCCGCGATACTGCGGCTTCGACAGTTAGCTCATCGGGTCTCAAAGTGCTAACGCGGGACTCGACAGTGTTTTCTTATGTTAGTGGCTCAGTTATGCTGTAGTGCACCACCAACGAGCTGTTCCTGGTAGAGGAGCACGCTGACTTTAGATAGCTTTCTAACAGGATCAGATAACGTTAGGTTTCTAAGCAGTCGTGACTATAATAATTTGCAACTTACACGGCGATAGGAATCGACATCTATAACCATATATTTTGGCCCTTAGATTTCGCTTGCTTGTTTTGAAATGGAAAGATGTTCGTCGTCTTTATAACAGAAGCCAAACAAAACTTGAGCTTTGGTTTCGAAAACACGACGCGTTTTGGGTTTTTTAAGTTACTAAGCACATGCTTTTACCTTTCAATGTGTATAAGTTAGCGACCGAGGTTTGTAACTAGAAAGAAGTTATATTATATATTTTTTGTTTGTCTGTTTTGTGCTGCTTTTCGGTTATTGGCAGATCCATTCCAATTTAGCGAATTAGTTGATCAGCACAAAATTTGATGAAGCATTTTAGCTTTTTTTTCACGATTGCCCAGCAATGCACGTGTTTGATCGCCAAACAAATTAACCATTTAAACCTTGGTAGTCTTAGTTTAAAATCGGTTAGCACTCTGTGCTAATAGCTAGTCCCGGAGCCTGGGGAAGGAGGAGCTCGGTTTTTAGATGATGATTTGTGTTTAAGCGGGAACCTCTATTTCAGTGGAGTGTGGAGGTGTGGATTGGTACAGGGATCCTGCGGGACAAAACCCGAGTCATATACGAACAATATCGGATACGGGACAAAGAAAGGCCGCGTTCATTAACACGGAAGTGCGTTGGGAGCTCGTGCTGCCTGAAAAAAGTACCGCGAACTTTCATACATTGCAGTCATTGCTTTATACTGGTTAGGCTCAACGGTGGCTTACATTACCAGTGTGTGTAGTTTTTTTGGAAATGGACCCGGCCAAGTGGGAACAAATGTAACTGCCGGAGCGCGTGATTATTCAGAGTTTTTGTGGGAGTGGGTGGGATTGATTAAAATTCCTCCAGGAGTTGGAGGGGAAAATAAGTCCCACGCACACCCATATGGCCCTTACATATATTGTTTACTTGTTTGCGCATCCTTAAAAAGTTTCTTTATTTTGTATTTTCATCAGTAATACCATACTGTGTGTTGTATATCTTTTCCTCAGGTAACCCATGTGGAGCCATGGGAGAAAGGCAGCAGGAAGACAGCGGGGCAGACTGGAATGTGCGGAGGGGTAAGTAGAAGTATGTGCCTCCTTTACCATTTGCTATAAAGGAAATTCTTGTACCATACCCAAAATCAAGTGTAAAAGCCACAGCAAGGTGTTAATCTTCAGTGTTTTTTTACTATATGAACAGGTTCCTTCTTTATTCCTTGAAAAGTTCACCTGGTGTTCATAAGTGTGAAAATGTACAGTTTAGGGCTGGTTTATACTTCTGCGATGAAGCACATTTGGAGCTCTGCTTGTGGCACAGAGAAGTGCACTGATGCTCTCGCATGCAGTCCTGAGCAATCTTAACAGTGCTTCGTGCATATCCACAGGGCTATGTGTTGTCCACCCTTCTGACAAATGCTGAGTCGTTGAGGTGGTGTGGTGTGTCTGGTTATATACATGGAAACTTTGTGACAAAACACCCATGAGTTTTATGAAGGGTTTCAAAGTAATATTGCTAATATATTTCTTTATTTGACTGCAAACCTGACATCACTCTCCTGCAGTGCACAAAAGTGCTGTTGTGCATATGAGTGAGAGAAAGGAATAAAATCAATTCACACATGTAACTAATAGGGGTGTCACGATACACAAAAATACGATACAGTAGTTCTCAATACAGTACATTTTCCATACAGCCAAAATTAGCACTTAGATTTCCACTTTCATTTGATTAAAACATTCAGTGTAATAAAAGTACAATAACTGAAACTTAATGGCAATGTTTTTTGTGATCCATTCAGACTCTTAGCAGCATAATACAAAAGAAAACCTGTGCATAACCCTCTAGTTTGTTGCTTGGGAGCATGGAGCGAGTGCTACTCTTGTCACTTGTGGGTGTGTACCGTCCATCCATCCTTTTTTAGCTTAGATGAAAAAGGTTAGTGACAAATGTAGCCTACTGCACATGATTTACTACAGTGTACAGTTTATTTGTCTTTAAGATGTAATTAAACTGAATTCTAATATTTTAATCTAGTAGTTTAATTTAAGTGAAAGAAGTGTGAAATTGGTTGTTTAATGTATGCTACATGCCAGGCTTTCTATTAGCTTTGTTAGCAGTGCAAACTAACTGTGCTAGCTGCATGCCTTTACCAGAGGCACCAGCCTATAACTATTTATTTGTTTGTTTCTTTTAACAAGTAAAAGACAAATTAAATAATACTCTAATCAGTGTCAAAATTGTTTGTCTGATTTGCATGTTACATGGCAGGCTTTGTATTAGCTATTAGCAGATTAGCAGTGCAAACTAACTGTACTAGCTACAGACAGTCTCCAAAGACACCAACGATGCTTCATTTTTCTTCGTAATGTCTGTATACACGTTAACGAGATATCATATGAACTAACATAGGAACTAACATGAGCAGGGGAATGAAAAAACGTTTTTCCATGTGTGCCATATGATTGGTCCGAGCAATCATTCAGGCTAGTCGTTTGCCTTTGTAACTTTACCACATCATACCCATTTTGCATAAACTTCAGAAAATCTCAACTCGCATGTCACTTTGTCGCTTGCCTCTGTTGCTGAAATCATAGACAATAAATGGTCGCCTGTCACTTTGCTGCTCACTGTTGTGAACACACTTTTAGAATGTTAACAAAATTAAAGTGAGCCGATGAAAGATCATCTGCCTGGTTGGGCTTTTGACTGCTGTACAGGGTTGCCAGGTTTCAGCAAAAAGGCTTGAGTAACTTATCATTATTAATTAATTATTAATTAAATTATCCATATTAGTTTGACTTTTTCCCTAATAACCAAGTAGTTGATTCCCCAGAAACAGCTATTCAAGGCAGAACCGTTAATGACTTGATGTATGTTTGCGACCGTGAACACTTCACGCTCAGAAAAAAGAGTACTAAAAGAAAAAACGAAAGACCAGGTGTATTCATCTCAGTCATGATTTTATTGCTTTAAACTGTGTGTGGTTTGAGTCATTGTATCAGTACACATTAGCATGTGTAATATGATTCACACAGGGGAAATGACACCACACTGAAATAAAGAACCAAAATGTTGAAACTTCTGGAATTGAAAGTTCAGACATTCATTGAATCTGGGTCCAGCAGAAAGGAAAATTGGCATTTCCACCATTTTAGGTTTGATGAGAATCGGGGAGGCGTAATATCAGTTGTCCATTCAGGAACTATTTGTTGGCAGCCGCATTTGCGAAAGGATGGTGGATTGTTTATGGATGGATAGTGATTTTGCAATAATGCACATTTAACAGTAAAAAAAAAAAGTAACAGTACATTTCTATATATTTCTTTTGCAAGTTGATTGTGTTTTCACATGGCTGATATTTTGACTGTTAAAGCTGCTTAAGAAGGAGAGAGCAAAAAAGTAAAAACACTGGCAAAATTGGTAAAATGCATATTTAACCACTTCCTAATTATCATCACCATTAAAACTATTTGTGAAGTGTTAGTTTTGATACTTCACTGTAGTCCTATTTAGTTCTTTTTTAGGTCAAAATTTTTGGTCTTTTTCTCTTTTGGCTGAAAACAGGTGGTGCCATTTCTGACCATTTTCGGGTGAAAAATATTTAGTAGCATTACTAATAAATATAGATAATTGATGTTAATTATATACTTTTCTGTCTTTAGCTAAGTCAAACACATTTATAGATTTTATTTCACATTAAATAATTCTGAACATTCTCTCTAAGTGATGGTGCCCCAAGATCATTTGAGACTGGGGGAAGGGGCAGTGCTTCCAGGCCTTGTACTGTATTCTACAATATTGGAGATTTCAGAAACTTGACAGTTGAATATTAGAAATAACATCACCTGGTCTTTTTACAGTCTTTAGCTGTCCAGTTTCGCCAAGTCTGTGCCCATGGTATCCTCAGATTCTTGTTCTTGGCTGACAGGAGTGGAACCTGATGTCTTTTGCTGTTGTAGCCAAACCAACTCAAGTTTTGATGTGCATTCTGAAATGCTTTTCTGCTCACCACAGTTGTAAAGAGTGCAAATTTGAGTTTGCTTATTTAAATGCTTATTGAGGGCACGTGAGCATCAGAACTGGACCATGAAGCAATGGAAGAAGTTGGCCTGGTCTGATGAATCATGTTTTGTTTTACATCATGTGGACGGCCAGGTGTGTGCGCGTGTGTGTGTGTGTGTGTGTATGTATATACAAGCATGCATACAGTTGACTTTCAGTGCTGGTTATTGGTGGCGCTGCTCTTTTGGCTGCTCCCATGAGGGGTTGCCACAGCAGATCATTGAGCCGCATATTTGATTTGGCACAGTTTTTACGCCGGATGCCCTTCCTTACGCAGCCTTCCCCAATTTTATCTGGGCTTGGGACCGGCACTGGGAGTGCACTGTTTTGGGGTTGGTTCCCTGGCCAGGAAACGAACTCGGGCTGCGGCGTTGAGGGCACCAAGGCCTAACCACTAGTCCTTCAGGGACCCAGAGCTGGTTATTGGTGTTAATCAATACAATTTTAATGCATTAAAAATATATAGTCTTAGCTTATGGATTGAGGCTCATAAAATGCTGATATGGTTCATGCCGAATTTGAGTTTGACACCCCTGTCCTAAAATGTACACTGTAGGGTGCATAATCATAATAATCAAATGCTAACCTTCTAATAGCATTAAACACTCTTTCTTCAAACTTCGTTTCAGTTCACTCACACTAAGCCTTTACTTGTCTGTGTAGTTTGAATTAACATACATATTTAAAAAGTGCCATTTATATCAGTAATGTAGGATACATGTCTGTTGTGAAGTCTTTAAAAGTTTTGGGTTTGAAATGATGTCTGTATGAACCCTGCGTCCAGAACCATAACATAAAGAAAACAAGGCTTGTATGACATAAGTTTTAGCATCTGTACACTATATTACACTGTTGCAATATGCCACGATGTTTAATCTGATTATATTGGTTTACCACACCTGTCAATCTTCAAATTTTGGATAGGCACTCTGAATTGAGTATGCTCGTATGAGTTACTGCTCAAAAATTTGCCGAAAGAGCAGTCTTTTTTCTCTCCAGTAAAACAGATGAGCCAGTTGACACACATCTGGATTGATCTCTTTTCAGTATTTGTTAGTTCCCCCTCTCTTCATCTCTCTGTCAAGCTACACATGCTACTTCTGAGATGCCAGTGGTCCTGACCCCTTCTGCTCTCCGGGCCTGCCTGACCCATCCTGATGCCTTACTACTGGTTGGAGTTCTCATCGGTTGAGTTTGCCTGCTGCTGCTGGGGGTGGCCCCATATGGACGACCTGAAGAACTGTTTGGTTTGCTGGGGATGGTGCCACCCGGGGGCTGTGGAGATGGTTTGGGGATCACATATGGGGAGCTGTACTGTGATGGCTTGGGACTGTGATTGCTGTGGTGGCTTTGGGGCTGCGGTTGCCACGAGCAGCTTCGTACTCAGGACTCCATCAGTGGACAGTGGATAGATTTTAACCAACCGGACTTCTTGCGGAAACTGTGATGAATTTACTGGTTGCACAATTGAACTATTTGTCCATATAGTACACAATAATCGAAGGGATTTATTTGTAATTGTACTATCTGTTGTCACCCAGATGAGGATGGGTTCACTTTTGAGCCTGGTTCCTCTCAAGGTTTCTTCCTCATATTGTCTCAGGGAGTTTTTCCTTGCCACCGTCGCCTCTGGCTTGCTCATTAGGATAAATTCACATATTTACAATATAATTTTTGAATCCATTTTTTTCTGTAAAGCTGCTTTGTGACAATGTCCATTGTTAAAAGTGCTATACAAATAAAATAAAATTGAATTGAATTGAAGTTAACATTGCCTGGAGCCCCGATGTTCTGGTCCCATTTCGCATGCTCTTGTCTCATGTGGATGCCCTCGCCCTCTGTCACAGTAAATGGAGAATGTTTTGAGTTCTTTCATTTGAAATAAAATCTATCAGTATATGTTCAACTTGGCAAGTATATAGGTAACATCAGTTGTAGTTAACTACATTTATTAGGGATATCACTGAAACATTTTGGCCAAAAAAACTGGTTTTAGGCCAAATCTGCCTATTTACAAATAATGTTGGCAATGGCAATGATAAGAAAGTGACCAAATCTGCTGGGGTTTTTTTTCTCCCCCCTTTTTTTCCTTTGCGCTTCTATGTCATTGTGCTGAATTCCTGCTCCCCATCAGAATGTGACTCCAGAATCTGAAAGAGGTCCAATCTAATCAAGCAGCTGGTCAAGACTTGTTCTAGGTTGTGCTTTTTGGCTTTAATAGTGACCATATTTTCTCTCTTCCCAGAAGACTTTAGCTAAGGGTCTATCAAGCAAAGTAAGCACTTTGTGGTCGCTCAGTTATACCATCCCTATATCTACAGGATGTCTGCAGTTCTGTGCTTCCCCTTGTTGGGCTCAGAGGTGGGTGGTGAGTAGGGTTGATGAAACAAACTATGCATAGTCATGGCTACCAAAATAACCCTTAAAAGAAGGATGATAACTGGCAGAGGTTCATAAGTTTTGAATTTTTATCACCTGACATACCTCTTGCCAAATGATTTTCCCTTTGTTTTACAAAAAGGCATAGCAGGGACAGTCAAAGATGCAAAAAATAAATTGCAGCTTCAGAGAGCGATAGGACATGGAGGAGGCTGAGACAGCTTCTGAACTGACACAACATGGTGTGACGGACATTCAACAAATAACACTGAATAAAAACCAGCACGTATATCATGATCTTCAGTAGGCCTACCACCAGAAAAGATTATAACAGGCTACCAAAGGGTATCAATGCCTCTGTGAAGTTGGCATCCCATATAATCCATTTATTTCTGTAAAGCTGCTTTGTGACAATGTCCATTGTTAAAAGCGCTATACAAATAAAACTGAATTTGAATTTGAATATAAATAAATTGTCACCAAAAATATATCATTCGTTTGTGCTGTGTTTGTTCTGATTTGTGCCACAAAAATGAACGTTAGTGCTGTTTGGCGTTCAAGATATTAAACATTCTTTTTTTTTGGCTGTGACACGTCACTCTCCACCCCATGTCGTCCAAATCGTATCAAATTGGTGCCGTTCGTTTGTGCTCGATTTGTGTAGCTAAAATGATCACTATGTTTTTCCCTGACTTGGAAATAACACGTATTATTCGGGGCAGTGACGTCACTCTCCACCCCATGTCCTTTAAATCACCCAAAACAGGTATTGACCACATGAGCGTGATTCCTACATTGTAGCTTGTAAGACTGTGTGTATATAGTGGGAAGAAGCAATTTGGTGCTTCACCCCAAGGAGTGCTATACAGTCATTCAGTTACCACGTGATTTGGTCGGGGCATGTGTGTGCATGCCCACAAGAAGTCAGCTCAGTCTTTGGGTTTGAGCCCTGCTGAAAACTTGTGGTCTGAATTAAAAAAAAAGAATTAAGTACCAGTAAGGAGCTTAAATGTTCTGTATGAAAGAGTGGACCAAGATCAACCTAAAAGTGTATCCAACCTGATTTATACTTCTGCAAGCATGTCAGGACAGAGCTGTTTTTTTTTTTTTTTGTTTTTTTTTAAAGGTCGTTTCTGTCGAGCTGTTTTACTACACTTTCAGAAAGCAGGTTTGAAGTAGAAGTACAAGCACATTTGAAGAGGAAGGAAAGCACTGGATGCAATGAGGGAAAATTTTATTGTTTACACTTCAGATTTACTTTGAACTGTATTACTCTGATGTAAACAATATTAATCTGAATTTGATATAACCCACAGAAGTAGTGTCACAACCTCTTATCACACTGTTTCCAGGTACGCAACCAGACGCACACACCTCTCTACCAACCAATCCACTTTCACCCAGCGTGGTATTGTAAATCTTTCAGGATGGGGCTTGTTAATTTTTGCTCATTTTCACGAAGAGTGCCAATAATTTTGAAGGCCACTGTAGTGTTCTAGTAGTGTTAAGGTCTTGTCTTTGACAGTTTTCCAGCACAAGGGTGCATGTGATTCTTTTTATTAGTTCTTGTGGTGTGATCATTGAAACAGGGTTCTTGAGTTTCTTGCAAATTTTGTTTTTGTTGCAGGTGCGAGGCGTAGGCACAGGTGGTATCGTCTCCACAGCTTTCTGTCTACTGTATAAGCTGTTCACACTAAAACTGACCCGCAAACAGGTGATGGGTCTCATTACACACACAGACTCCCCGTACATCCGAGCACTTGGCTTCATGTATATACGGTAAGAGTCCACTCTTTTCACATTCATTTTGCCAAGGTACTCTGGGAGAAGAATGCAATACTATGGTGCAGAACACTACATAATCTGACGAATGAAACTTTAGATTTGTTCCTTAATGATTCTTTAAAACAAGTTCCAAGAAGTGCATTATTTACTTTACATTTGCTTTTAGGGGAACTTCAGTAAAAATGGGTAATGCCGAGTTCACACTGCACAATTTTAGCCCGATTTTTCACTTTTGTGAAATCGACAAACGCATGAAATCGGAGGCAAATCTGTGCTCGTTCACACGAGTGACAATCACGCAGTGTGAATCATCAAAGACGCGATCTGAGAGAATCGCAGATGCATCGCCGACGTTCGTGAAATATTTGCCATGCTAAATATCTGGACCTGTCGGCGATTCAAAATTCTGCTGTGTGAAATGAGTTCTGACTGAAACACATCGGCGATGACCTCCAGCCAATGAAGGAGCAACATACAGGGCCGGGGGAAGCTCGGGGAGGAGTTATAGAATATCAGAAAACATGGCTTCGGTGCGAAAAAGGCTCCTTCTCGGTCTATTTGGATCCAAGTAATGGAGGAAAGCTCCCCGCGTCTCCCCAACCATTTCCTCCTCCATAATCTTTTTTTTTTTCTTTTTTGCCCTTTCGCTGCAAATCAGCGCACAGACCATTTGGATCGTGAACTTCTTGCGGGGTACCATTTCCAGTCTCGTGCGAAAACTCTGATCTCACGTGTGATCTTGCGTTATTTCCTTTTCAGTTCTCGCGTGCGTTTGGCTGTGAAACGTAGTTTGCGAGCCAGACAGAGTTGTCTGCGATTCTTTCTAATGTAAAGTCATGCAGTGTGTAACCTCCTGTCGCTGATCCATCGTGCAGTGTGAACACAGCAGCAACTGAATGCTACCTCAGATAGTCGTGCAGTGTGAAAACCACGATGATCTGACGACTTTGAAAATCGTGCAGTGTGAACTCGGCATAAGCGTAAGGATCTGAGCAACTTTGACAAATTGTAATAGCTAGATTTCTGGGTCAGAGCATCTTATAAAAATGGCAGGTCTTGTGGGGCTTTCCCGGGATGCATTGGTTAGTACCTACCAAAAGTGGTCCAAGGAAGGACAACTGGTGTAACGGAGAAAGGGCCATGAGCGCCCAAGGCTCATTGATGCGTGTGGGGAGTGAAGGCTAGCCGGTCTGGTCCAGTCCCACAGACGAGCCACTGTAGCAAAACTTGCTGAAAAAGTTCATG